CTGCCGTTTTGGGTCCGGAGGTACCGATTTCACTTCTAAAGTAGCGCAACGATGTTTGGGACATGATACATGTCCGGGACACGTTGAACGACTCCACGTGCTACGATTTTCATACCACACTTTCCCCTTAGGTCGTTCTTCATTGTCGAGCGGAGTGCAGTGTAGTGTAGTCGGTGGGACTATAGAGAAACTCACTATAGTTCGGACAAATGCGTCGATCGTAACGGCAAAATGTAATTCGAACCTTCGTCCTTCAATTTTCAAGTGCTTACGAGCGTCGTTGCACCAAATGGACACGAAATGAGTAGAAACGTCGCACATAAGTTTTAACGACGAAATGTAATTGGAACCTTCGTCCTTCAATTTTCAAATGCTTACGAGTTTCATTGCACCAAATGGACACGAAATGAGTAGAAACGTAGCCCGTACGTTTGAAACGCCCAGCTGCCGTTTTGGGTCCAGAGGTACCGGCTTCACTCCGAAAGTAGCGCAACGATATTTAGGACATGATACACGTCCGGGACACGTTGAACATCTACACGTGCTATGATTTGCATACCACACTTTCTCCTTAGGTTGTTCTTCATTGTCAAGCGGAGTGTATTGTAGTGTAGTCGGTGGGACTATAGACAAACTCACTATAGTTCGGACAAATGCGTCGATCATAAAGGCAAAATGTAATTCGAACCTTCGTCCTTCAATTTTCAAGTGCTTACGAGCGTCGTTGCACCAAATGGACACGAAATGAGTAGAAACGTCGCCCATAAGTTTGGAACGCCCAGCTGCCGTTATGCGTCCGGAGGTACCGGTTTCACTTCGAAAGTAGCGCAACGATGTTTAGGATATGATACATGTCCGGAACACGTTGAACGACTCCACGTGCCACGATTTTTATACCACACTTTCCCCTTGGATTGTTCTTCATTGTCAAGCGGAGTGTAGTGTAGTCGGTGAAACTATAGAGAAACTCACTATAGTTCGGACAAATGCATCGATCGTAAAGGCAAAATGTAATTCGAACCTTTGTCCTTCAATTTTCAAGTGCTTACGAGCGTCATTGCACCAACTGGACACGAAATGAGTAGAAACGTCGCCCATAAGTTTGAAACGCCCGACTGCCGTTTTGGCTAAACAAACAGTGCTGCTGTCATTTTTATCAGAATCTGACTTACAAATCTATTATAATTCATCAAAATATATCACAATGTAAAGATTAAATAAATGATTAACATCCATCCGTCCGTAACAAACGTGAATGAACAAAAATGAACACGAAATGAGTAGACATAACACCCATACATTTAAAACGACCTGATGCCGTTTTGGTCTGAACAAATTGTGATGCTGTCATATTTATCAAAAATCCGTCTGAAGTAACTATCATACTTTGTCAGACAACTATCACAATATATCAAAAATTATCATAATCTATTATAATTTCAAGATTATGTTAAACAAAAAAGGTTCTATGCATCTGTCAACTAGTGTAGGGCATTTTTGCAAGTCAGACGATTATGGCCCCTCTGGCCACACCTACTACATTTACGAGTCTTTTTTCCCTATCCTCTTGATGGAATTTGACGATTTTTTGGACGTCCACTTTGTCGTCGATTTGAAAGGGGTGATAACACCTTTAGCTGATTGGAGATTTCCCAGTCAGCCTCATTTGCCACTGGATATATACATTCAGCATATGCTTGTTTCCAACTAGCACTGGTATAATAAGGTGAGCACAAACTGTAACAAGATATTCCCTTAAATTTCGCTGCTGCAAGTGCATGTTTGCAAGGAAGCTTTTCCAAATCAAATTCCCTACAACTACAGGTTCTTGCCTCCAAGTTCACGGTATGCATTTCATTCTCAACACCGACATGCAACTCATACTTATTTATTGGTAACACTATCAGTCCCTTTGCATCATTATACTTTTTACGAATTTTATCCTCAATGGGCGGGGTTAGAGTACTTGCACATTCTTCCGCCTCAATGTGTCTCTCATAAAACCATTTCTGTAAAGTTTTTCTTATTTGTTCAACCATAGCAAGTACTGGAAACTCCCGAGCATTCTTGAATAACGAGTTCAAAGATTCTGCATTGTTAGTTGTCATAATATTGTAACGGATTCCTTTGAAATGTGCTCGGGACCAAAATTCATACCCAACTTTCTTTTCTAGGTATTGTCCAACTGCCAGACTTTTACGATATAGATTTGCCATTGATTTTTCAAAATTAATCAAACTATACTCCTTCGCAGTTGCCATAAACAATGGCAGAATATCGGCCTTATGATAATTTGACTTTATGTTTAGTTGTAGATGCCACATGCAACATCTATGATGTGCATAAGGATAAACAATCTTTATAGCGTTACCAATGCTCTCCTTGCGATCAGAAATGAAAACAAGCCCTTCCAACATACCCGTTACATGAAACAACTTATCGAAGAACCAAGTCCATGATGCATCATTTTCAGAATCAACAGTGCCAAATGCAAGAGGGTATATCTGAAGATTTGCATCTTGACACGTGGCAACAAGTAACGTACCTCGAAATTTTGATTTCATAAATGTTCCGTCCACAGAAATGACATGTATCATTGGTGAGTGAAAACCACGTATGCTTGGTCCTAAAGCCATAAAAAAGTATTTGAATCGATTCTCATTATCAACCTCAATGAACGTCATTGTACCGGGATTATTCTTCTTCAGAATATTGCAATACTTGGCCAGTCTATCATAACTAAGATCAGGCGAACCTCTTAATAGCTCTATAGCACATTCTTTAGCCATCCATGCCTTATAATAATTTATATCTATGCCAAACTCCCGATGAATATCATTTTGAATGTTCGAATGTCTATATATAATGTTGGGATCCTCAAACTTCGACATGATATGTTTTCCTATCATCCAACAACTAGCTTGTCTATGATCTTTGTGGCGAACATCCAATGAACAATTATGATAACGTGAATACTTTCGAATTTCAAATTCGTCACTTTCCTTCAATCGTGTTGCCTGCAAACGCCATTTGCAAATTTCCTCAACACATACTACTACATATGTACTCTTATTTGACTTAGTGACCTTAAATTCGAAAAAGTTTCTTACAGCAAGCATTTGTAGTGATGCCTGAAGATCCTTCTTGTTGCGAAAAATTTGGCTAACGTGCACATCATCGACGTCAGGAATCTTAACTGATGTTTCACAAGGATTCGGATAGGCAACAACTTGGGAAATGTCAATGATCTCATCTACCAATGTAAAAGGTGTATTATGAGTAACATTGTCTTCATTTATCACATGAGAATCATCTATGTCGTTTCCATGCACTACTTCTACCCCATCCCAATAATCATCACTTGTAAAGTTCACACAATCGTTTTCACAATTTTGATTACATGGAGACAACGATCGCATATAATTGTCATCGGACTGATCATTTTGCATATACAATTCATCCATCTCCACCGCATTGTTAGTTGCAACAACATTTGAAATACATTCATGATTCTCCTGAACATTTACAATATCAACATTCATGTTTTCTTGATCAACATAAGTCTTTTCTACAAGGGTTACACAAATTGGAACTTTGTCATGCAAAGAAAGAAACCAACTAACATCCATATCGCAAGTAATCTTCATTGGCGAAACTGATAATTTTGCCATGCCGGGAACGAAAAATTTCATCTCGATGTCATACACATTGGGATCAACCTTAACTGCTTTTCGGATTTCGTTATACAACTCTGTATATGAGATTGTTTTTGATACAAAAATATTTGTTGCGGTGTCTTCATCATTCCCTATCCATTTCCAACTCCATTCATCTTCATCACTCTTTTCAAATTTAACAAAATAACAAATAACAATCATTGCACCAGAGTCCATATCTGCAATTCAATAAAAAAATATATATAATATATTACTCCATTAATTGCCAAAACTGAGTACTATGAATCACAACTTCAATAACAAACAAAAGGCTACTCATATTGTTACATAACACATTTCAGCAGAACAAAACGGCATTTCGTAATTTAAAATGTGTATGTGCCGTTTAAATTTATTTATGATAATAAAATGCTATAAAAGAATGGGGAAACAACTAATTTGCCAACAAGTATATCAATACCTCCATTGTCTTATTAAAACGGCAGCCAGCTGAGAAAAAAGAGCACCCAACTACTGAGAAACGGCACCATTAGTTTCAATATTTTACAGCAAATTTTAATTATCCAATTGATTTTTCTCATAGTATACAACTAGAAAATAACAACAAATCTATAATTTTCAATTTATAAAGCTCACCTTCAACTGTGTGAAATCGATTCTTGCTAACCCACCTCCAAAATTTGCACTATTTCATTTGTTCTTGATTCAAGAAAGGGAACTTCAACATGCAATCATTCATTGTAAGCAAGAATAATGCATATGAAGAAGAATACAACTGAATTTGAAGGAGAGTTTAATATGGTGAGAATGGACTTGGAAACGAGAGAAATGAAGGGGATTTAGGGATTTATATTTGGGGATTTGGATAATATTCATTTTCAAATTGGATATTTTAGTCATTTCAACTTAAGGGTATTTAAGACTTTTAATATATAATCAAATAGACTTTAGACTATTTAAACAAAAATTATTGATAAAAGCTATTTTACCAAAGATCAAAGAAATTAATGCACTTAAAATTCATTTGACAAGCTATTTCAATCTTCTTCCAAAGGTTTAAATGAAAAATATAACCTCTGTTTATAAACCTGGAACGGCATTGTCCCAGGTAAAAGACCATAATGCATTAAAATTAGACACAAATTCTTGAAAAGCAAATAATCCCCAGTGTCAATATATAACGAAAAAAGAGTAAAACTAACAATAATCCATTACTAAATAGCATCCAAAAAGTCACATTAACTCAAAAAATTCCAATTCAGATCGTTGCATTCCTGTATATCAGTACCGCCGACCACTGCCGCGGCCGTACGTCATTGCCGGCGCCACATTAATCGGGCCCTGGTCCTCTCTAAGAACAACCCCAGGAAGATCCTTCATTCCAAGAGCCTCCAATAAATCAACAGTCTCCTGATCAACCTCAATACGATCGGTCTTGATGGCAGATTCGGGCGGCACGAAGTCCATCCGGCGCTCGCGCTCCTCCTCCTGCAGTTTCAGGGAGATCCCACGAACGGGTCCCTTCTGGATGCGCTTCATCAGATGGGTCGAGAACCCGGCAATCTTGTTACGAAGGCGCTTTGAAGGGATGATTGCCACCTCCTCCAAGACCTTCTTGTTGGTGTGGAAATCGAGTGTCATCTTCGAGTAGTATCGTTCGATGACCTGACGGGAGGACTTTTTCACTGTCTTCGTGCGCACTCGACCCATTGTCTTGTTTGTTTGGTGGCGTTTCGGGGATGGGAAACGGTGTTAGGGAGGCAGGGGGGATTTTAAGGAGCAGAAGAGAACTAGGGTTTGCGGATGAAGTAGATGGGAGGTTTGTAGTTTATATAGTAATTTGAAATTACACTCAGCTCCCCCTAGAGTATATAAATATCAAAACAGACCTCTGAGTTTTTGTATAATAATTGTGGCCAGAATAATAATAATAATAATAATAATAATAATAATAATAATAATAATAATAATAATAATAATAATAATAAATAATCAGCTTCTCGATTTTGAAAAAATCCATTTGAAACAAACTGTTACTCAATTTTAAAATTAAACTACACTTTAGAATAACGAATAGGTTTTCGGATGAATATGTGTATTTTTGAAGATAATATTAGAAATTAATGATTCCTCGTAGGTAGTGCCCAACACTTTTTTTCTGAGTTAAATGTTTGACTGGCCATTGAACTTTGATACATGTCACGATTTGCTCACTGTCTTTTAAAACTTGTACTACCGGTAATTCAACTTTGTTTCGTCCAACTCCATTGGCCAACGGATGGAAAACATTAGTGAACGTGCACACGTGGCTGACGGCAATTTGACATGTCACGTAAAATTGAAAATTACTGTCACGTAAACGTCAAATAAGTAGGGCCAAACACGTCTTTATCTAACAAACACATTTAAAGTCTTCGAAATTGCCATTTATTCCCAACCCCTAAAACACGTCTTCTTCAACCTGATTGAAGCCCTAACCCCTAAACGGTACTACCCCACGTGAAGGCCCACGAGCACGAATCAGTGCGAAGTGTTGCAACGAGGAGGGCTTGCACATGGAGGGACCACTAGAAGGTAATTGAAAATAAATATTTTTCATTATTTCCATGAATGTGGACAACGAGAACCCGACAAATGAGCAAATTTAATATGCTGTTCAGATTTACATTTAAGCATCGGAATCATGATTCTTTGTATCTTCCTCTGTATTTTGATGAATATGCTCCATGATTTCAACTCCATGATCCTGAAAGGCCCCTTACTGATTTCTATAAAATCGGAATGTACTGTGACAGAACACATCAATATGTATAATTTGAAAAAAAAAATTCATACCATGCATATGTATAATCTGAAAATATTTATAATTAATTTGCTTCCATTCCTGTGTTCACGGTATGTATTTCCATACGTGAATTATAATTTCCTAATTGCTTGTGGTGTATATGTATGTGACAGTATCAGAGGATGATTCAGACTTCGTTGATTCTGAGAACGATGTGGAGGATGAAGACGACACACTGTATAAGCAAAACGTGACTGATGGCATTGAGATGGGGTTGGATGGCCATGATCAATTTCAAGATGAACAGGGAAAGTGCAACGATATGGAAGTAGACGACTTGGAATATCCGACAGAGGAGTTATTATCACAATGCTCATCAGATGACGAGGGTAGGTTTCGATTTCCTCAATTTTCTACTGAGACCGATATGAAAAACCCCACAATTTGAGGTAGGCCAGATTTTTAACTTAGCAGTCGAGTTTAGGGAGGCGGTTAGAACTTATGGTGCATTGAATGGATATAATGTGAAGTTTACGAAGAACGAGGAGAGGCGAGATGCAAAGTTGGGTGTAAATGGAGAATATGGGCTTCCTCGTTTGACGACACTGACACATTACAGGTGATATCAGACCATAAATGTAGTCGGGATTCAGTGTTATAGACACTGCAACTAGGAGTTCCTGACACATCTTTACCTTGAGCAGTTCAAAGCAAACCCCGATTGAAAAATGGAGCTAATTTTAGCGAAAGTTAAAAAAGACCTACGCACAGACGTAAGTAAAAATGTTGCGTGGAAGATGAAAAGATATGTTAGAGAAGTATTAGTCGGGACTATGTAAGACCAGTTTGAACGATTGAGGTCTTATGCTGTCGAAGTACTTCGAACAAATGCTGGTTCTATTGTCATCATAGCTTTACAACAGCAAGTGTTTCAGGGGATGTATGTATGCTTCAATGGTTGTAAGATGGGCTTTAGAAATGGTTGTAGGAGGGTGGTTGGCGTTGATAGTTGCCACTTACAAGGTTGCTTTGGAGGAATTTTGCTAACTGCAGTTGGCCTAGACAATAACGATTGCATCTACCCTATTGCTTACACAGTTGTTCAAAAGGAAAACACACTGACTTGGCGATGGTTTATGACTTATCTTGCAGAGGATATTGAAATTGGAAATGGCAGAGGGTGGACATTGATGACAAATAGGCATAAAGGTACGCAAAATGTGACAAATGAGTTGTTTCCTGAGGTCGAGCATCGATTTTGTGTACGACATGTGTACACAAATTTTTTTCAGTGCCGATTTCAAGGTAAAGACTCTAAAAAGTTATATTTGGCAGGCTGCAAAGTCAACCACTATCCCTGACTACAAACATTGGATGCAACAAATCCGTAACATCAGTGAGGACGCATATAAATGGTTAATGGAGAGTCCTCCTCAAGAATGGACTAGATCACACTTCTCTTTCCATTCAAATAGTGATATATTATTGAATAACATATGCGAAGTGACAAGACCTTGAGGAGTGATAGGGAGAAGATGATTTAGACGATGCTCACTTCAATGCAATTGGTCTTCATGACAAGAATTAGAAAGCGTCGAGACACGATGATGAGGTACAATGGTAGTTTGTGTCCAAAAATTAGAAAGAAGCTTAACAATAAAGCTGACCGCTCACGTGAGTGCACCTTACACTAATCTAGCGGGCCGAAATGGCAAGTAGATTGTAGCTCTGGCACATATGTGGTGATCTACTAGAGCGGAGTTGTGCATGTAAGGAGTGGGAGCTTACTGGCATACCATGCATGCATGCAGTTGCAGTGATAAGAGAATGTAGGAACTATCCAGAAGAATATGTTGACAGTTGCTATTCAGTTGAAACATACATGTGGTGCTATGATAACATCCTCAACCCAATTAACGGGATGAAATTATGGCCGGAGTTGGACATGGCTGCTATCATTCCCCCATCATGGGTTGTTCGGCGAAAGGGAAAGAGGCAAAAAAATAGAAAGAACGAAGATGTAGTAGTGCATTCACAAGAGAAAACATACATGAGAAAAAATGGACGATTGAAGATGACTTGTTCAGAATGCGGACTACGTGGCCACAATGAGCGATACCATTCTAGGCCAGATGCTCCATCAGATGTGAGTACCAATAGTCCATTTACAATTTCGAATGGAATATATCAGCATCTAGCTATATTTTCATTTCCACGGGATTGGTTCGAAGGCAACTTGGAATCTGTTGACACACAGTGCAACACACACGTGCATGCCAGAGTATGTGAAATAGTTTTTCGTGATATAATGTAGTCTTTGTTCTGAGATTGTCGCATTTAATGTAGTTAACCATTTGAAATGTAATGGTAGGGTAAAATGGTTGCCATTGGTGGAAAGGGTTCTTCTTCAGCAGGTAACACCACAAGGCAAAGTTCTTTTTATTTTATGTTGACACCAATGGTTATACGTGAAGCGGGAAGGGATCATATTGCACCCGGTTTGATAGTGACGATGCCTATTAGTGATGAACATGAAGCTGGTCAACCTATAGAGGATACTGTGGCAAATGTGGAAGTAGACTTCAAAGAAATGGTTGACAAGAACTGCGAGAGGGCACAAAAATGTGATGGCAGAAAGCGAAAGTGATAGAAATCTGTAAATTTGTTTTGAATTGGACACATGACATGAACCAAATGTCTATTTTGCTAAATCCGTAAATTTATGTGGATAACAACCCAGTGTTGTAATATTCTATTTTGCTACATATGTATGTAGATTCTTCATGTTCTAGTGCCGGTTATGGTTAATATTATTATGAATTCCTTGTCTTCATATAGTTCGTTTTGTTTATTAGTGAGGAATTATGTATTTGATTCATTATAAATATTTTGCTTTTTGGCCGGGATGGACTCCTTCAATTGAATGATTGTTCTAAAAGAGCTTGGTCTTGCATTTGCTAGAATGTATTCTCTTGAGCATACTGCTAGTGCTCATCTTATCAGCTAGTGGAACGAATATTCTGTACTACTAAGAGCAACTAATAATTGGAAATTAATTGTAAAATTTAAGCAAGAAAACATTGTACCTGATGCTGCTACATAATTACTTTTCATAAGTCACAGGAATTAGCATAAAATTACCATCACAGGAATTAGCATGAAATTACCATCATAGGAATTAGCCAAAATGTCTCCAACATAGTCATTTCCTAATAAGCTACACATGACATACACCAAACATAACTTAAACCTAAGCTACTCCCTACTACACAAACATAAAAATGACCCTAGAACTAAAACACACACACCTTATGTTGATCCCTTTCCCTTGTGCATTGTTATGTTAAAGGATATCTCCACATCCTTCTCTTTGGTTATGGTCGCAAATATCTTGAACATGGACAACAAATCTTCTCCTTCAATTGCATCAGTTTTTCCCTCGATGAGGAAGCATCATTCCATTCAAAAAAATCCACAGTCTCTTGTGCAACATAAGAACAATCGTCCTATATTTTTAGTATTCTTTTCGACCTCCATACATTTCACGAATCCCAACCCACATTCTGGACATCGTCACTTCGATGGGAAATTCGACAAGTAGTGTTCGGGCTTCCTACAACTGTGATAAATGCCCTTGTTCTTCCCAGTCATTGTAATCTCTTCTTCCTGATCGACATGATTCAGTAAACAAAAACCCACATTAGCACAATTTAACTCAAAAATCATGTTATATATGAATTCAAATTCAATAACAAGTTTCCCACGCCATGTACATAAATTTCAATGAAAAACATGCAGCTAAGCCGACTGGTGTATCCCTCCAGTAATCTCCATAGATCCAAATTAAATTTCTTCTTTTTGAACGGCAATTTATGCATGAGAGCTTACGTTCAGGAGTAGCTAAAAAAATTTCCCGTCATTGTATCAACTACGAGGATTGGAGAAATCGATTATGCTCAACTCTTGTCGAGAACTTACCCAAATATTTCACGTAATAGCGTCTTCTTTGACGGCCTTTGGCGACGGAAGATGCTGGTCGAATTTTTGGCCTCCACAATTCGCTACGTTCAAACCCACATTAGCACAATTTAACTCAAAAATCATGTTATATATGAATTCAAATTCAATAACAAGTTTCCCACGCCATGTACATAAATTTCAATGAAAAACATGCAGCTAAGCCGACTGGTGTATCCCTCCAGTAATCTCCATAGATCCAAATTAAATTTCTTCTTTTTGAACGGCAATTTATGCATGAGAGCTTACGTTCAGGAGTAGCTAAAAAAATTTCCCGTCATTGTATCAACTACGAGGATTGGAGAAATCGATTATGCTCAACTCTTGTCGAGAACTTACCCAAATATTTCACGTAATAGCGTCTTCTTTGACGGCCTTTGGCGACGGAAGATGCTGGTCGAATTTTTGGCCTCCACAATTCGCTACGTTCACCTAGGGCTTGCTTCCTTCAGAGTTGGGGATTTTCCTTCAAACAGCAATTTTGAAGCAGAATACGAGAGGAGAGAAGGCAATTTTGAAGACTTTAAATGTGTTTGTTAGATAAAGACTTGTTTGGCATTGCTTATTTGGCGTTTACATGGTAGTAATTTTCAATTTAACGTGACATGTCAAATTGCCGTAGGCAATGTGTGCACGTTCACTGACGTTTTCCATCCGGTGGCCAATGCAATTGGATGGAGCAAAGTTGAATGGCCAGTGGGACAAGTTTCAAAAGACAGTGAGTAAACCGTGACATGTACCAAAGTTCAATGGCCAGTCAAACATTTAACTCATTTTTTTCTAAAAAAAATTGAAATTCATATAAAGATTAATGAATTATCTAAATATGTTAATTGTGAGACCAAGTCGAGTTGAATTGCCTCGTAAGTTCAAGCCAAAAGCTCGAATTGACGTCCAAACTTTGTCGTTTGGGTTAATTTCCACCTCCCCTCCAACAAAAATTTAAAAAAAAAAATGCGAGACCCTAAATGACGTTTTCTTCTTTCATTTAAGCCTCAAACTTCAGCCCCAAATCAAATCTAGCCCATACTCCCTTCCAGTAGTGTTATACATAATATTTGGTTTGATAGGAGATATAACGAGTATCATTCACCACTCATTTCTATTTATTTATAAACAGTTACAAAACATAAACTTTTCCATTGTAACTAACGGCAATGAATTTTCTACTTTTGACATGTAACATATCAAGCCTCTGTAATCAAACTGTTATATCATACGTACTATCCGTTTTGATAGATCTCGTGCCCATTTTGTTTTCACAACTTTCTATCACATCTCCAAAAATTTGAACCTAAGACCTTTCTCTTGTGAGAGATTTGAGTATCGATTGAAATCTTTTGTAAAGCGGTCTTAGGTTCGAATATTAGGAACGTCACAGAAAGTCAATAGGGGTAAAATGAACACGTTGTACTAACGCAAATAGTTCGTAATGCTTATGCATCAACGTTCCAATAAAAATACTTACATGCTTCAAAAACTCCAGGTTCAATGGGATAAATGCATTATAAAAGGACAAATTTTAGCATACGGGACTGCTACGATTGGTTAAGAACTTGCTTTGGGGAAAAACGTATTAGTAGCTTATATGTCATGGGAATGTTACAATTCTAAAGATGCAAAACTCATTATTGAGCGTTTGGTATATGAAGATATTATACTTTTTTTTTCATATACAAAAATATGAGATTCAAATTCATGTGACAAACCAACGTCCTAAAAGGATCACTAACAAAATACCACATTTAGAAGCTCATTTACTCCGCAATTTAAACAAAAATGGAATTGTGATGCTAGGATCTTGGCTCGTTACGGCATAAAGCGCTAGTACAAAATTAGGTCTTTGGACCACTTCATTAAACATATAAATTGATATTATTTACAAATAAAAATAAATACTTACGGTACTTCAAAATAATTAAACCACGCTGATCAAATCTTGGATACCTTTTACATGTTCGAAAAAAGACTGAACAAAGATCATATTCTACTAAACTACAACGAACGGAAGGTGTAAGAGAAATGTCCAGTTTGTGAAAATCATATATTTATTAACTGAATTTAAGACGTAAACCAGGCAACGCAGTGAGTAAATACCCAGAGTGCAAGACACTCGGAATGAACTTCTATAAGCCAAACTGTGAAACTGGATTCAGAATAAAACTAAGCAGAAAATGTGGGGGTTATTCCTCTGGACTTTCGTTGGGTTTCACCTCGTCTTCCATTTCCTTTACTTTCTCAAGCTGCCTCAAGAGATCTAACCTTTCAGGTCCGTAAGTGGAAGGTATCTGCCAAGAACAATTCAAATATGGATTGGACTTCATGCAGGAAATTAAACAATAAGCTCAGGGAGCAATGCGTACACACCAGTGATGGTACATATCGTTGTATTGCAGCCAGTATAGCAGCATGCCCTACTGCAGTAACCTGCAAGATGTATTTAACTCAGCAATGTCAGTTTATGCACACATCAAGTTCTACGAGAAAGAAAGATATGCCTCATCAATGGATGTAAATCCGCATTTTGCTTGAAGTGTGAGCAAACCATTTTTCTCATATGACAAGAAGCCAGATTAATGCAAACTAATCAGGAGAGGACTAACCTACTGCATCACTGTAAGTTCAAGCAAATACATTTAATCAGAGCCAGGCAAAGACAAGGTCCTGTGGTCAAGCTAATAACATTTCATTGACAACGCAGGCCAGAGGAACATTATATTAGGCCGTATAATTGTCAATGTTTTTCATCCTTCTGTTTTACTTTCCTGTCCATCCAAATGGAACGTTCCTCGAGAATAATCAGTGAATCTCGTGTCAATGTTTGTGCAAAGCACAGCAGTCAAGTAGTACATAATTACAAGAAAAAGGAAGACGATGAATAGGTGAAATATTTTTAGCACAGAAAGCAGTGATGAGTATGCAAGAAGAGTGAATTTGATTACGATTAACTATTTGCTTATGAGTTTTACCCAATTGAGCAAGTATTTCTACTAGGCACCTCTGATTAATGATGATTTCATACTCGTATAATTGACTCAAAATTTATAAGAATCTCATTTAAAGGCGAGCCCTCTCACCAATACACATACAGTTAAGATAAGAATTTTAGGGCTTACTGGAAGGAGCATGAGAAAGCCAATTGGAACTACTGAAGCCAAATCAGTTAACGTTCTTTGGAGAGCTTGCTTTTCTTTCTCTGTTAATTCATCCCCTATTAGAACCCTCCTCAGCAGTCCCATAGCAGTGCCAACGTCAATGGCTAGAAGCCGAGTGCCTTGCCAAACATCCTGGTCATGAACATCGAAACTTTCACTAAGAGATTGCAAGTTAGCAAACGTCGTAATTAAACTATCCCTTACTTTGACAAGAAAAGAAACTTCAGGATAACTCGCTATCTTGTATGAGATGTGTATTCACTACTCACTATCTTGTATAAGATGAGGATACGCTTCTTTAAAGTATACTAATATTTAGAGTTTGCAACAGATATATTTTTGTTGCTTCACATTCCTGTCCGAACTTGGCTCGAAACTAATTTACTAGAAGAGTAGCTATAAATTCGAACATCAAAAACCCACCACGGAGGTCCATAGAATCCAAAGAGTGAGAGAGAGAAGAACGTAAGATATATGTTCCAATGGGCTTGAACAACTACTGTCTTTACAGACGCATTACTCCAGAAAAGTTAAAAGCAGTTCTTTAGATCTTATTGGGAGCATTCATATCCTTTTTCCATATATGTTTCCTTCAATTGATAAGTTATAAGAATTATGCGAGATATAAAAATCATAAGAAAATATACGAATTAGTAAAAAAATAAATATACGAGTTAATTTTGAATAAGATAATTTTGAGCCCCCGTTTGATTCTCATTCTTTGGCCACAAAAATAAAAAATATGATCGTTATCCATCACATCAAGCCACCATATTTGACTTCTATTTCTTGTGTGGGTCTCGTAACGACTATATTTTTTATTATCGCTCCTACAAAATTGGGTACTAAACGGGGCCTAAATAAGTTTTATTTATTTCAAACTATAAATAATTTCATTGGCCTGGCATAATACACACCAATTTCATTTGTCCAATAAAGAATAGTAACATTCTTACCGTGCTTGTTTCTTTCAGCTTATCCAATGATTTCTCAACTATACTTCCTTTCTTCGAAATCTGAACCATTTGAGCACCTTTAGCTTCATTACTGTAATTCAAAGCATCATCTCTTGTATGAATTTCTTCCTGAATGAAATAAAATGGATTAACCTCATAAAATAAAGTAGGTAATTGAAACCTATACGAGTACAGAGAAATTTTGACAACTAGGAAGTTGAACACATGAACTCGCTTGTTGACTCTAACAGAAGTCAAAACAGCCCAAAGATACTACATTATATACAAGGTGTTTCCATAAATTTTGTTTAGGCCACTCTCTTCTAGAAATGAAACAAAGAATAGACAAAATATTAGGGCTCTGCAGAATTAATATTACGACTTGTTTCAAAAGTAGTTTCTTGCAACTGTGTCCGACACAAAAGCAACAGAGCTTAGAAACTGCAAAATTAGTTTGAACACATTTCATTAACATCTAAACATTTTTCAAGAATATAAATGGCATTGAAATATTTAAGGGGAAATATTATAACAATAATTTCACAATCATGGGCAAAGTTGCCACAAGCAGTGAAAAAGAACCACTCGCTCTAAAATCAAAAATGAAGCATAGAGCGAATGCCTACTATCGGGGAAAAAGAGGTCAAAGAATTATCACACCAAATCCACTAATTTTGCAAACTTGAAAGCTGAGATTTTGATCAGTAAATGGGACTGAATGAACTGACAGATCTAAGACCATAGGATTCTCAGAATAAGGTCTCACGTTCTAAGTTGGGTACATGTTTTGTATACCAGTATACGAGAGTATATTGTATTCAATATTGGACTAGGAAAGAAAGGAAAATAAACTGCTCAGTAGGGAAATAACTCAAGGTCTTTATTTTATGAACCTAAAGAAAACTACATATCCATTGCAGAATATTGTCATGGTTATTGTCTATATGTATATCAAAGAGTTAAAATTTTATGCCATGGTCTAGGACGGTGTGTGAATTGCAGTACGGGTAATTAACTTTGTGGCTAGATGGACACTGATGTCTGATAGGAACTCCATATGTCCACAGGGAATCTTCACATAATATCTCACCAGTTCAAATGCCTGATTAACTTTTCTCATAACAACATTTCAACTAAATATGGGTAATGTTATAACATAAGTACACAGCTATCATTATATCAAGCTTGGTTGAGCAAAGTCAAACAATGGCTACCAAATTACAAAGTTCATAATATTTGTTTAATAACCTCATGTAAAAGCTCAAGCTTTCAGAAAGCCAAAAAACTCATTTACTGTTTGTTCTGCAATTTAGTCAAGTTCTACATAATCGTGAATATACATGCAAGATTTTTCATATCACCAAAAAGTTTTCTTATTTTCTTCTAAGTTTATTGATGTCACTTCTCATGACAAAAAAGACTCAGTGAATTTGAAACCACAGAGAGTTTTCATATCACCAAAAAGTTTTCTTCTTTTCTAGTAAGTTTATTCATGTCACTTCTCATTACATAAAAGACTCAGTGAATTTGAAACTACAAAAAGTGAAATGCGACAGAAGCATCAAGCAAAATGGACACCCTTTTACTATTCTCCATAGAATCGAAGCCTGAAGTTATCATTGTTCTTAATACTACCAAATTTGTAATCAAAAGGTGGTTGATGGTTTTATTTCACCATATATAGATCATTTTCAAGAAATTTTTTTGAAATAAATGACCAATAGGAGAAACTGTGGAAAACCGGATCATATCATAGAAGAAGGAAAGATTTGATTAGATTAATTTAAATTATTTCCTTACCATGATTAGTGTTGTATAGTATATTAATTGATTTTTTCCTTATTAGAAGTTTCCTTTTCTATAGTCACCTTCATAGTATAAATTGTAATTAGTGACTTTGTATAATTATCAGAAATAAGAAAAACATTCAGCTTTTCTTCATGGTATCAGAGCTAGGTTAGAAAACCTAACCAAGCTATGGCCGAGACAGCTACAAACAACGAAGGGTCTATGACCTCTGAATCTGAATCAGAGGTCACGTCTGCCATGAGTACGTGAGGAATTGAGAATTCATCCTCCAACTAACGATAGAAAAATTGAACGAGAAGAACTACTGAGAATGGGCACAATCAATAAAATTAATAGTCGATGGAAAAGGAAAACTTGGTTACCTAACCGGAGAGACTAAGATGCCGGCCTCAACCAACGCTACTCTTCACCAAAAATGGAAGTTGGAGAACTCGATGGTGACTGCTTGACTTGTCAATTCCATAAAGCCCTCGATCGGAAGAACTTATCTTTTCCTTCCAACAGCAAAGGACGTCTGGGAGGCAGTGAAAGAAATGTATTCAGATGCAGAAAATGCCTCTAAAATTTTTGGAATTAAATCAAAATTGTGGCAAACAAAGCAAAGGGATCGAGAGGTGACAGACTACTACTCGGAGATGACTGGGTTGTGGCAGGAATTGGATTTGAGTACGGAGGAGTGGACATGCTCGGATAACAGTGTGCAATACACAAAAAAAACTTGAAAACGAGAGTGTACGAATTCCTAGCGGGCCTCCGCCGTGATCTCGACGATGTTCGTGGCCGGATTCTAAGCCGGCGACCTCTTCCCCCGCCACAGGAAGTCTTTGCAGAGGTAAGAAGGGAGGAAGCACGACGGAAAATTATGTTTGACAACGCCGATGGACTTGGATCTCCAGTAGAAGTGTCGGGATTGATCTCCAATAGGTTTGAGCCGACAGCTAATGGGCCAGTGAGAGAAGGAAATGGGGAAGGAATTTATGGGCTAGCTGACTTAAATAAAAGATTGGGCCTGAATAATGGACCGGTTATGGGCCAAATAATTCTAATGGTAGGCCTGGGATGACGGGCCTTTATTCTAAAGGGGCAGTGATCGGAACAGGACCAAAACAACAATGGGGTCGACTGTAGTGCGAGCATTGCCGAAAATCGGAACATAAAGAAGATACATGCTGGAATTTACATGGAAAACTGAGCGACTAGAAACCGAAACAAAATAACAAAAATCGTGGATACCAAGCTTCTATGGAGTACCAAATTGGAAAATCTGAATCAAGCAGTGCTTTCAATACTGAACAGATGGAGCAACTCTACAAAATGTTTTCTAGTCTCCAATCATCTAGCCAAAACTCTGAAAGTGGCCCTTTTGGCTCACTAGCTCACAGAGGTAATTTCTCGAAAGCCTTACAATCTATCACGCAATCTATAACTCCCTGGATTATTGATTCTGGAGCATCTGATCACATGACGGACTCTTACCATCCGTTTTCATCATACACCACCTATGCCGGAAATTTGAAAGTTAAGATTGCAGATGGTTCATCTTAAAATTTCTGATTCCATAACTTTAGAACCTGTCCTTCATGTACCAAAATTATCATGCAATTTACTCTCTATAAGCCAGCTAACAAAAAATTCAAATTACTCTGCTAAATTTTTTCCATCCCAGTGTGTTTTTTAGGACTTATTATCAGAGAAGACGATTGGCAGTGCTAATGAACGTGAAAGATTCTACTACTTTGAAGAGACCGATGTGAGTAAACAAAGTCAAGCTATAGTTTGTTATTCTGCATCTGTTTCTAAAAATAGTGAAATTCTGTTATGGCACTTTAGGATGGGCCATCCAAATTTTCAATATCTTAAATGTGTAATCCCTTCAATATTTATGAATAAAAACTCAGTTGATATTCAATGTGAGATATGTGAGATTGCTAAACACCAACGTACATTATTTCCGGCATCTAAAAACAAACTTTCCCAGCCTTTCACTATGATCCATAGCGATTTATGGGGCCCCTCACGAATTCCTAATCGTACTCATACAAAATAGTTTGTGACGTTTATTGATGACCACACTCGAATCTGCTGGGTTTACCTACTGAAAGATAAATCTAATATTCGTTCTGTATTCGTCAATTTTCACTCCATGATTCAAGCTCAATTCCGAACACAAATTAAAATCTTACGTACAGTTGGTACAGATAATGGTACGGAATATTTCAATAAAACCATGGGGGATTTCCTTCAAACACATGGAAAATTCATTAAAGCTCTTGTGTTGACACTCCCCAACAAAATGGGATTGCCGAACAAAAAAATAGACGTCTCTTCGAAGTCGCTTGCGCATTAATGTTCACTACTAATATGCCAAAAATGTTCTGGGAAGATGCTATCCTAACTTCCACCTACCTAATTAACAGAATGCCTAGTCGTACTCTGAACTTCCAATCACCCCTTCAAAAACTTCAGGATTTTTTTTCCAACTTCTCGCCTCAACTCCAATCTACCCTTACGAGTATTTGGATGTACTACCTTTGTTCATATTCATTCTCATCTCAGAGGGAAACTTGATCCTCGAGCAATAAAATGTGCTCATTGGATATTTTCCCACTTAGAAGGGCTACAAATGCTACGACCCTTCCACGAAAAAAACATTTGTGAGTCTCGATGTCACCTTCTTCGAAGATACTCCATACTTCAAAAAAACCTCTCTTCAGGGGGAGACCTTACATGAAGATAGGTTTTTGGACTTCGATCTCACTTCTCCTCCATCTCCTCCATCTACACCTACGAACATCAATCCCATCCTACCCTCCAACATGCCTTCAACAGAGGACAACTTGAATCCAGAGGGAGATGTGGAAAAACAAAATGATAACGAGATACTAGTTTACTCACGAAGGCCAAAAGCAAAGTACAAAGAGATCGGCACATCCGAGGCACCAAAAGAGTCAGAACCGATGAGGATCCTCGTGAAATTTCAGAAATTCCTGACCTACCCATTGCCCTCAGAAAGCAATCTTGATCATGTACTCTCCATCCAATTTCAAAATTCATATCTTATAATACTTTATCTACAGGATTTCGTATTTTCACATCTCATCTTGACAATACAGAAATCCCGAGAAATATCAAAGAAGCTTTGGAAAGTCCTAAATAGAGAGAAGCAGTATTGGAAAAAATGAAAGCGTTGGAGAAAACTGAGACTTGGGAGGTAGTAGACCTACCAAAAGGAAAAAAAACCAGTTGGGTACAAATGGGTCTTCAACTTGAAATATAGAGCCGATGGAACAATTGAACGATACAAAGTTCGACTGGTTGCA